GGTGGGCTGGGCAGCAGCAGCCGAGGGCCCTGGGCCAGGGGCATAGTGCTGGGAGCTGGTGCCCCTCGTCTCTGCCCCAGGGCCCCGCCCAGGGAGGGCCCCGCCCAGGGAGGGCCCCGCCTGGGCTGTGTGTGTTTTCTTTCCCTTTCCCCTCTGTCAGGATGCTGGGTGCATGGGGCATGCAGCGATGTCACCAAGAGGCACTAAAGAAGAACCGGGTGTCCCTTGCAAAGCAGTTGGTGTTGAAGGAGTTGCTGGAGCATCTGATAGGGCGGGATATTATCACCACAGAGATGATGGAAACGATACAGGTAGCAAACTACATAGTAATAGAAATGTAGCCGTGTTGGTATCTCTCACGCTCCTCTTTGGCCTCAGCAATTGTTAATTTTGTTTTCTGTGGTATGCTGATTTCGCCAGCCCCATGTCAATGTTAATTTCAAGTTAACAGTCTAAACTGGTCAATGTCCAGCTCACCCCTCTCCCTCCTCCACACACACACACTAGTGCCTATCCCTCAATATCTACAAAGTTCTGGATATGGTTTCATCTTTAAACTATGTTTCCTTGATATTAAACTTGATCATCCTTGAATTGAGGGATCATCACTGATGATAGAATCCTAGAATACCAGAACTGGAAGGGTCCTCGAGAGGTTATCAAGTCCAGTCCCCTGCCCTCATGGTAGGACCAAACACCATTTAGATCAGGGCTACTCAACTTTGGAAGCCCTGGGGGCCACAATGATACTCACAGCACATGCTGAGGACCGCAACTTAACTGTGGTTGCATATACGTGCAAATATATGTGCAAATAGTTTATTTTACACTGACGGGCACGAATATAAAGCACTTCCTATAATGCCCTGGTGCTCCTGGCGCCTCCTCTCTGGGGCTAGAAAAGCCAACACCCTGTACCCACGTATTCTAGCCAGCCTGTCTGCTTGCATCTTTCAGTGCTCACTCTGCCTGGGAGATGCCGTTGTGGAGCGTATTCCCAGTGGATGTCATATTCAAAGAATCCCACCCACAGGCCACGTATTGAGCCCTGTGTAAACCCAAACCAGGCTGTGGGCTGCCTGTTGAGTAGCCCTGATCTAGATTATCCCTAATAGATGTCTGTCTAATCTGCTTTTAACTATCTCCAGTGATGGAGACTCCACAACCTTTCTAGGCAATTTATTCCAGTATATAACCACCATAACAGTTAGGATTTTTTTTCTAATGTCCAACCTAAACCTCCCTTGCTGCAATTTAAGTCCATTGCTTCTTGTACTATCATCAGAAGCCAAGGAGAACAATTTTTCTCTCTCCTTCTTGTAATACCCTTTTAGATACTTGAAAACTGCTATTATGCCCCCCCCCTCAGTCTTCTCTTTTCTAAACTATGCAAGCCTAGTTCTTTCAGCCTTCCCTCATAGGTCATAGCATAGGGAGGAATAAATCATATTTAAATAGCAGTTTGTTGATTCAGAGATGGGAGACAGCAGTGTAGAAGCTCAAGCAAGCAAATGTTTCATGATATAAGGAGAGAGAGGAACAGAATGCTATTTGCATGCACTTGTCATGTTAGCAGTGAGTGGATCATATGTCTTAGGTTTTTCTGTGAGAGAGTGGGTCAGAACCTCTATTTTTAATAGTGATAGAGAGACCAGACTAACACGGCTGCATATCTGAAACAAAAGACAGAACTATGTAGCACTTCATAGTTCTGTCTTTTGTTTCTATTTTTAATAGGTCATGATGAAAGCAGAGGTTTTTAACAAAAATACGTAAAGGAAAAGTGGATCTTCATGCAACATGAATCTTGTAAGTTAAAGAGGTGAACAAACAAAGGTTTTCAGGTTTTTTAAAAACATGTCTGTTAATAATAATAATTATTATTATTATCAGGATTTGACAAATTAGTCAATCTATTCTCCTGGGGTGAGTAGATTTTAAGCCGGCATGGCGCCACAGCGCAATCAGTGCATGCGCAGCGTGCCAAATCGCGCGGCTGGTGAGCAGGGCTTGCCGCTGCTTGTCAAGCCCTGATTATTAGTATTAGCAATAAAAGGGTGATCAGAGAGGGTGTGGGACCCTTACTGGATGAGGGAGGTAACCTAGTGACAGGTGATGTGGGAAAAGCTGAAGTACTCAATGCTTTCTTTGCCGCTGTCTTCACAGACAAGGTCAGCCCCCAGACTGCTGCACTTGGCAATGCAGTATGGGAAGGAGGTGGGCAGCCGTTGGTGGAGAAAGAACAGGTTATGAACTATTCATAAAAGGTTGGCAAATGTCATTGTGGAGCCTTTGGCCATTATCTTTGAAAACTCATGGAGATTGGAAGAGATCCTGGACGGTTGGACAAAAGCAAATGTAGTGCCCATCTTTAAATAAGGGAAGAAGGACGATCCAGGGAACTATAGACCAGTCAGCCATACCTCAGTCCCTGGAAAAATCTTGGAGGGGATCCTCATGGAATTCATTTTGATTCACTTGGAAGAGGGGAAAGTGATCAGGAATAGTCAACATGGATTCACCAAGGGCAAGTCATGCCTGACCAATCTGATTAGCTTCTATGATGAGGAAACTGGCTCTGAGGATATGGGAAAGTTGGTGGGTGTGATATACCTTGACTTTAGCAAAGCTTGTCATATGGTCTCCCACAATATTCTTGCCAGCAAGTTAAGGAAGTATGGATGGGATACATGGACTGTAAGATAGAAAGCTGGCTAGACTGTCTGGCCCGACGGGTAGTAATTAATGGGTCGATGTCAGGTTGGCAATCGGTTTCTAGCGGAGTGCCCCAAGGATCCGTTTTAGGACTGGTTTTGTTCAACATCTTTAATGACCTGGATAAGGGGATGGATTGCACCCTCAGCAAGTTTGCGGCTGACACTAAGCTAGGGGGAGAGGTAGTTATGTTGGAGGGCAGGGATAGGATCCAGAGTGACCTAGACAGATTAGAGGATTGTGCCCAAAGAAATCTGATGAGGTTCAACAAGGACAAGTGCATAGTCCTGCACTTGGGACAGAAGAATCCCAACTATTGTTACAGGCTGGGGACCAAATGGCTAAGTAGCAGTTGGGTGGAAAAGGACCTGGGGATAACAGTGGATGAGATGCTGGATATGAGTCATCAGTGTGCTCTTGTAGCCAAGAAGGCAAATGGAATGTTAGATTGCATTAGGAGGAGCATTGCAAGCAGGTCTAAATAAGTGATAATTCCCCTCTATTCAGCATTGGTGAGGCCACATCTGGAGTATTGCATCTAGTTCTGGGCTCCCCACTATAGAAAGGATGTGGACGCATTGGAAAGGGTCCCACAGAGGGCAACCAAAATGATTAGGGGGCTGAAGCACATGTCCTGTGAAGAGAGGCTGAGGGATTTGGGCTTATTTAGTCTGCAGAAGAGAAGAGTGAGGGGGGGATTTGATAGCAGCCTTCAACTTCCTGAAGGGAGGTTCCAAAGAGGATGGAGAGAGGCTGTTCTCAGTAGTGATGGCTGGCAGAACAAGGAGCCATGGTCTCAAGTTGCAGTGGGAAGGTCTAAATTGGATATTAGGAAAAACTATTTCCCTAGGAGGGTGGTGAAGCACTGAAATGGGTTCCCTAGGGAAGTGGTGGAATCTCCATCCTTAGAGGTTTTTAAGTCTCAGCTTGACAAAGTCCTGGCTGGGATGATTTAGTTGGGATTTGTCCTGCTTTGGGCAGGGGGCTGGACTCGACCTCCTGACGTCTCTTCCAGCCCTATGGTTCTATGATTATGGTATGGTTGTGATCAGATCACTGCTATAGTCATGCAATGTGATCTTTGCAAGTCTCTGTTTCCCTACCTATAAAAACAGAAATAATACCCACATCCAAAAGTGTGCTAGAATGTTGAAATACACTCATGTGTTTGTACATTATGTGCCTGTACATTGGGGCCAATCCTGATTGTGGCCGTGAGTTGCTTCTCTAATAAAATTGTTTAAAACATGTTGTGTAAGCTGCTTTAAGAACATGGGATAGGAAGTGGCCTAATGGTTGCAAACAGAAATTAGAAGATAAGCAAGATGCTATTATTGCCCTAGCTCAGGGCTGGGCAAAATGTGGCTGGATCCAGCCTACCAAACCACTAGCTCCGGCCCACGACTGTAGCTGCTTGCCATGCACCCCCCACCTGTGGCTCAGAAAAGCAGCTGCTTCTCTTTCTCAGCTATGAGCCTGGGGCAGGGTGGGAGTGGTGTTTTACAAACTGCTCTTGCCCCTGCCCCTAGCACAGACTGAAGTATAGGCAGTGCAGTTCTTGAAGCACCACTTTGCCCTTCCCCTTAGGCTCTTATTCACAGAGGCACATGACCCCTGTAACCTGTGTGTGGGTGGGGCAAGCAGAAAGCTGACTGAGAAACCTGCTGGGCTGCTGGCTGGGAGTTGCCCAGGTAAGTCTGTCAGCCTGAGCCTGCCTATGGCACCCCAGCCCTTCCCCCCAACTCTCTGTCCCCCCACTCCTGTTCCCATGCCCCCCATAAGCAAGGTTCCCTGTAAGCTGCATGCTTGTGCAGCAGTTTTCTGGGCTCCACTCAGAAGTTCAAAGCTCCTGTGCAGGGATAGAGCACAGCTGATTGGTGGGGAGAGGGGCTCCCTCTGAGCCAAACAGCTAAATCCAGCTAGCTGCCTGCTTGAACTGAAGCTCCCAGAGCTGGTAAAAAGGGAGGCAATTAGGGGATGGGGAGGAGTAAGTAAGTAATTGGCTGATGAGGAGTCAAAGGGGAGGGGACTTTAGCTTGTCCCTCTGTAGGGGGGAGAGAGGCAGAAACTCAGCACACTCAAGCCTCCTGGGAAGGGGGAGATAAGGGGCTGACTATATGGGGTAGGTGTGGGAAAGAGGCCGTGGGTGGGTGCTAGCATCTGTACAGTGAGGTGGAGGGGGGCAGTTTCTTTGGGGTGTCTGACTAGCTGCAGTCCTCTCTGACTGGGTTGCAGGAGGTAGCAGGTTGCTAGGGAAGCCTGTGTGCCAAGACATTTGCATGATTACATTTCAAACAAAGTTTGAATGAGGTGTTAATGGCCTAAGATAAGAAAGAAAAAGATTCTTTTAACAGAAGTTTGTGGGGTGTTGCAGAGATCTACAACTCTGAACTTACTGATTTTTTTTTTTAAACTTGTGTTTTACTAATTAATACATGGTATATTGTATTGCATTAAGATCAGATCCTGTGCTATTTGGTAGAGTTCTGTCTCTTATGAGTCAGAAGTAGCAAGTACTAGCTTGAGCTGTTAGGTTGATACATGTGCTCCAAGGGTAGTGTTAATTTTCTTTTTTATTAGATTTCATGTTTAATATCGTAAGCATTGTTCCTTGTTAAATATCCCTTATTTTAATATATTTTCTTCCCCACATATGGACTGCTTAAAATTGTATGTGTGTGTGGTGTTTGTATTGGTGGTGCACATCCATATACACCCCTCCCTCAATATTGATGGTGCACATAAGAAATTTCAACCTGCCCAAAAGAAAATTCAACCCGCTCAAGGACAGAAAATGTTACAGGGAACACTGCCCATAAGCCAACCCTCTATCCCCCTCCTGAATCCATAGCCCCTCCCAGACCCTACATCCCAATCACCTGACCTAGGTCACACCCCAAACCCTTGTACCCTCCAGCACCCCAGTCCACTGCCCCAGGTCACAACTGCCGCCTCTGCCCAAACTCCCTCTCAAATCCCAGACCTCTTCCTTCACCCCAGTCCCTTACCCAAACTCCCTTCTGCACCCAATCTCCATCCCAGACCCTGTGTCTCCTCCATTAATATCCTGGAAAAGTGCAGCCCTCAACCACTTTCCAGAATATTGGAGTGGCTCCTCATCAAAAATCATTCCCCCCTCCCCGCCCCATTTGGTGCAATAGGGTAATAATCAGTTGGGATATACATCTCTTTTTAGGTGGTTATAAGTTTACAATTTTTTTTGCTTTTTAGGATGGAATTTTGAGGGTTTCACCTCTGACTTAGAGGGAAAAATGAAAGATCAAAACCAGCCCCACTGTTTTGAACTACAAAAAGAGAAAAGTAAAAAAATTCCCTGGCATAGAAGTATTTCCAAGGACCTTTTTTAAAAAAATATCATTAGCAATAAAACAATAAGTAATAGGTGACATTTGGCATAGGGATGTTAAATTTTGATTATCAGCTAATCGAGAAGCCTATGGAATTCCATCTATTACTTGATTAGTCAGTAAGGGGGACACCTGCTGTCCCACTGCGCCTCTCCCTTTGAAATGTACAAGAACTGCGGGTGACTTTTGTACATTTCAAAGGGAGAGGCACAGCAGCAGGGGCGCTTGCCTCCCCTGCCCCCTGTGGAGAGGGTGCTGGGGGGAACTAGTTTTTAACCCAGCCCCCTCCAACACCAGCTCCTGCTCCCCCCCTTCCTGCCTCTCTGATAAAGACAGCAATGATGGGGTGGGGGGATGAAGCGACTAATCAAGTGACTACTTGACTGTCTGATAAACTTGTACTTATTGTAATTTGACAAGAAGAAAAAAATCGTAATATCCTGCTCAAAATTAGATTTTGATCAGATAAGGTGTAAGTAAATCTAACTATATAGTTGGCAACTTGTAGTAGCTTCACCTATAGAAGGCTGAGGTGCATTTATCTATATAGCTAATTTACCTGAACAGTGGAAATAATATAGTGGAGTTCATAGTGAATGATGGAGGGCTCTGCAGGGGCCCTTGTTTCATTCCTTGCACATCTTGTAAGATTAAAAAGTTTTTGGAGATTCCTTTTCCTGTGAACCCCCTTTTGGACATCAAAAGGTGCATGGGACAGACCATTTTGATGAATTCTAGCTAAAAATGACCACAATGTAGCAGTACTAATTCCTACAGTTTTTCTTTTTTAAACCCTAAGAAATTTCATCTAAAACTGTTAATGTTCATACATAAATGATATTTCTTATTACATTTGTCTTTACTTATGCAAGCATATATTATTTCTCAAATACTATGTCATAGTTTTTTCCTACCACTTTAGATACTCATGTATAGCATTTTCTCACTTTTTTTCAAATTAACTATATAACCATAATGTTTTCTTAGTACGTTTTCTGACAGATATTTATATCGCTATATGGTACCTGGAACTGGGTGGGTGGGATATGATGGGAATTGTGTTAGAACACAGAGTGTGGAAATAAAGGAAGTAGAGGATATGTACCATACAGAGAAATGGGGATGAGAATGGAGTAGAGGGAAATATGAAAAATTAAATAAAGATACTCATCATAGAAGCCATGATGATGAAGCATTTCAACTGAGGGAAGAGAGATTTTAAACTAATTTTGAGATGCATTTTAAAATGAATTCTGGATGGGTTTTTTGATGTGGTGTTTTTTGTGGGTGGTTTTTTTTTCTTTTTTTTTTTTTTTTTTTTTCCTTTTCCTTTTCCTGAGTTCTTAATTTTCCTTTCTGTGAATCCAGGCCAAGGATGGGAGTTTCAGCCAAAATGTGGAATTACTCAATCTGCTGCCCAAGAGGGGCCCCGAAGCCTTTTCAATCTTCTGTGAAGCTCTACGAGAAACCAAACAGCAGCACTTGGAGGAAATGCTCTTGAAGACCATACCAAGCCAGAACAATGGGATTTCAAGGGTAAGAGAAGACTACAGAATCTGGAGAAGGGAGCTCATTTAGTATTAGATGTGATTATGAAGGGGAGCATGTACAGGCAGTCCCCGAGTTACGCGGATCCGACTTATGTCGGATCCGCAGATACGAACGGGGTTTGCTGCCTGTCTCCCTGGTCTGCTGGAGACCAGCAGACCAGTGAGACGGGGAGCAAAGCCAGGGAGCACACGGGCAGCGGACAGCCCAGACGCGCTGCGGCTGTCCCGCTGCCGGTGTCTTCAGAGGCTTTGCTCCCCGCCTCACCCGACCAGGGAGACCGGCAGGAAACCCCGA